CATTTGTAATCATCAAAATTAAACGAAATAAACATTTGAAATATATGAGTTTGTATGTAATGTATGAATATAATATACAAGTTTCACTTTTTAAATGGAATTACTGAAATAAATCTACTTTTTCATGATATTCTAATTTTATGACCAGTACCTGTATGTATATAAATAAGCATATGTGTTTATGTGTATGTGTATATGTGCATTGGTACATTACTATATATCACATGTGTATATTGTGGGCTTTTGTTTATCTTTTATTAATCTTTCATTATTCTTCTCAGCCTCTCTTGTATTAAGCTGCAGTAATGTACAAATTTCTAAACTGTGGGATCAATAAAGTTTTATCTTATCTTGTTTTATCTTAAAAACAGTTTTTAGTCGGTAGATAACTGTGTTTTTGCTATGAAACTACAAATATGGCCGAACGGGGTGGAGTCGAACGTTCAGCGACCTGGAGGGGGCGGGGTGTGAAATATCTCATATTTATTTAAAATGACCGCACCAAAATAGCTTGCTCTGAGGGGCAACTCAGAACAGGGGTAAAAGCAAGGAAARCAAGGAGTCTGTGGAGCAACAAAAACGAGGAATTAAGACCAAAGTGGTGCAGTTTTATTTTAAATAGACCATAAGTGAATGATTTAGACGTGAAAAAGAAGGATTTAAAAGCATGATATGATACCTTTAAATTTAAGTAAATTATTTTAGAATGCTGCCCCCTGCTGGACAAACCAATTATTTATTTTTCCATAAGATGTAGTTTTTCCTTATTCGTCTTTGATATCCTGGAGTCTATTTTTGCGTGGACCTAAATATTAAGAGTGATATTTACAATTCAGTGCTACCTGTTTGTTAAAATTCAACGTAAAATGGAAAAAAACATTGCAATGCTCACATAACTCTAAACAGAAATTTACTGAGATTTTCTTTCATAAATGTATTATTTATGCCAAAGTTTTCCTCCGTTTAATTGAAATAATCTGGAGCATTTTGTGTACCATTACTTCCATTATTAAGCCAAATGCTTATTTATGTAGGCAGAAATGAAACCTGCTGTTATTTTAGAAATCTTACTCAACATTAGGAGTCGGTGTGGCTGAAAGCCTAAAATAACCTGATCCCCTGCTCAGTTTCAGAATGAGAAAAACATGAAAGCCGTAGAGAAAATAGGCAGAGGAGCTGAAACAGCAGGACGAGAGATATTACTGTGTGGGAGGGTGAGAATGAGAATAAAATAAAAACAAGAGGAGGCTATAAAAAGCACCGCCTACCTTTCTTAACTGGTGGTCGATCATGACGTTGTGAGGTTTGACGTCACGGTGCATGATTCCCATGCTGTGACAGTAATCCAGAGCCTGTCCCACAAACACACACAACACGTCACGGAAAACAAAAAGCTGAAAATCAACCCAGGTGTGATGGAGAGGTTTTGTTTTGATTTAACAGGCTCACCTTCAGCAGCTCGTACATGTAGAAACGAATATCATAATCTGTCAGCTTCTGGTACAACTCCTGCAGGAGAAAACAGACCTGTATCAGACGGGATGAAGTCAAGATGTGTTCGCTCTCAGATGATGTGTTGGGGATGACTCTCAGCTACCGCCACGCTCAATTTTAGCTTAGTATTTGTAAAACTAACAGAGCTGGAGGTGTGGCGGCCATCTTTGTTGTAGATGTTCACCCAGTGATCAGTTTCATTAAACCCAGCCGGAGGTTTATGTTTTGCTGACGCAGCAGTGAGATGAAGAAACACACCTTCAGCAGGCGGCGATAAAGACAACGTGCTGCTGATGGTAAACAGGAGGAGACGTGAACGTACCTTAAAGTCTGTGTTGTTGATGCATTCGAAGACGAGCGCCGGAGTTCTGGACTGCGGAGAGTTCAAACATTTAAATCATTCAGCTGAAAGAAAACAGCTGAAATTAATCATTAAGAAAATGAGGGTGATGAGTTTTATTTGCCTGCTTCTTTTGTTTCGTATTCTTGTATGTTTTTAAGGGAAATGTTGTTTACAGACTTCAAAATTCATGTTATTTATTGTTTTTGTTTGTCGTTTTATTTTGGATTTTTAAAATGTCTTTCAGTTCTAGTTTTCTGTGTTCCAACTGTTGAGAGGATGTTCTTTCATTACAACATAATCGTTACATAACATCGCCAAACGATATAATCGTTTATTAGGGCTAGGGCTGTGTGTTGGCAAGAATTTGGCGATACGATACATATCATAAAAGAGGGGTCACGATACAATATATCCCGATTTATTGGGATACTGTAAGCAAGGCAATACATTGCAATTTTTTGTCCAAAAGTTCTATTAAATAAAAACCTCTTACTGAAAAAAAAAAGAAAAGCTAATGTTTACTTACAATGCTAATGCTACCCTTACTCTCTGGTGCTAAAGAGGTAGAGTAGCCAAATGGCTGGCTCACTGCTGCCAACTAGTGGTCAGAGGCTGAACTACAACATAAAAATGAACGGTTGGCAAGAAGATTGACATTTTACACCTTAATAAAAAATCGATACAGGGCTTTAGAATATCGATACAGTATCGGGAAATGAAATATCGCGATATTTCAGTGTATCGATATTTTCTTACACCCCTAATTAGGGCTGGGTAAAAAAAAATCGATCTTGGATCGATTTCATTTAAATTTGAGAAATTCGATTCACAGGACATGAGATTGATTCTTCCCCACGGCGTCTTGTGCGCGTTTGAAACACGTTTCTATATTTTGTCACTCCTGGCTTGCCGTATGTTTACATCCAGTTGACGTTCAGTGCTAACGTTAGCTTTCGCTAACAAGTTGTCTGGATCAAAACAACAGAAACTAAAGAATCACTCACATCATCAGCTGATTCTCAGCAGAACTTAAAGACAACGGAGACCATGGAGACTTTTGTTTGTAAACAAAAACGAAGCTTCGACGAGCGGCTCGTCACGAGCTCGATCCAAACAACTGTGTGTAAGAAAACTGCTCACAGCGTGTAGAAAGACGACATTCTAACAAAATCGTTAAGTTTTGTTACCAATATTACTATTTTTAAACTTTAAGAAATGTCTTAATGAAACCCACAGTGATGAAATGTTGTAGTTGTATTATTTGTTTTAATAAGGTATAAGTAACACGTTTTAATAAGTTGTATTGAACATAACAAAAGGTAACAGAAACATTACAAATACACAGTTTTAATAAACTCAACGGGAGTGGGCAGACGTATATTTATATTAGCCCATCTCTTCTCCTGCAGCCTTATTCCATCACTTCTTATTTATCAAGAAAATTATTAGTTTCTTTAAAATGAATTCCTCCAACAACACCGTCACCTCCTTTTAATTTCAAACCTTTTAAACTTGTGACAGTTTCAAGATTAAACTGTTTAATTTAAAAGTTTGTCCTTAAAACCTGTCGTTTATGGTGAAGAGAAAAAATAGTGAATTTGTATTTTGCAACACAGTTGAACCATTTTCATTATTGAAGAGCAGATTAAATCGAATCAAATCGTGATTAATCGATTCAGAACCTTATGAGTCTCCAGCAACATTTGTTATTGTGACTTCACATTTAATGAAACAAAGTGAATCAGGTTGCAGATCTAAAACTGGCAGAGCTGCATCTCTATTTACTCCTCAAAGAATTAAAAGATAAAATTATTTGGACCTTTTTAGATAAAGAAAAAAAATCAGCAAGTTTTAGCTTCTGTTCTGCTTGTTTTAAGTTTAAAGTTCTTCGACAAAAACTCGTTTTAACACCAAATTTTCATCCCTCGCATTTTCTCCTTTTGGTTAAAAATAAAAAGTGTCGTGCCGTCTGCAGACCTACCACCGGGTCTTTGACGGTGTCCACAAGCCGGATTATGTTGGTCCCTCCTCGCAGGTTTTCCAGGATCTTGATCTCTCTCTTGATCTTCTTCTTCTTGACCGGCTGATTCAAATAAAAAATAAAAAAAACTCAGATTAGAAGTTCAAAATAAAACATGAGGATGTAAAAGAAAAGCCCCCCCCCCCCCTCCTGTTTCTTCTCCTCACTGCTGCTCTTAAATCTGCTGATGCTGCTGCACCCGTCAGCATCCTCCTCCTGCCTGAGGTCAAGGTTTACATTTAACTGACTCACAGCCAATCCTCATCCGTCAGCCCCGACATCTCCAGTCATTTTTAGGTAATCCTGTGATCTCTGCAGGTGAACAGATGCTGCTGCAGCAGGAAGTTATTTTAGCGCTCGCAGCAACCGAAGCTGCTGAGGAGCAGCAAACTGAACGCGTGGATCTGGAGAGTTTAAAACTGACAGTTAATGTCGTGTCGGCTGAAGAGACAGACTTCCGTGATCTGCTGTTCCACAGCTGCTAATTGTGGGTCGTTAGCTGCGTTAACGAGCAGGCCTGCAATTAGACCCAAAACCACATCTAAAGACGGACCTGCAGCTCCACAGATGAACAGCTTCATTTATGAGGAGGAAATAAAAAAACACTATATCTAAAGGATGAAGAAACTTTAATTTTACTTTAATATCAGAAAATCAGAAACCTGGTGTTGCTTGTGTCTGTCAGTAAAATATCTCAGGAACCACACAAGATTAAATCAACCCAATCCAAAATGGCCGCCGCAGATAGTTGACCTTAGCAAACACAAAAGCGGTGAAAACTCGGTCAGTTTTAGAGATCACGAGCTAATATTCGGTGTGCTATAGTAGCTGAGACGTTTATGAAATCTTCAAACACACGTTACTGTGAATCCAACACGTAGCAAGTTGATGAACGATGTCATAAATTAATGTACGGAAGTCAGAAATGCACACATTCAGAGCTGAACTCTGCTTCTCTCTGTGCATTTTGCACAAAAACAGAAGGACTCTAACCCAGAGTTGTAAAGTTACTCTGTTACTGTACTTAAGTAGAATTTTTGGGTATCTGTACTTTACTTGAGTAATTCCAGCTTGTTATTGTAAAAAATAAATACTATCCATATAAACTGTGCCTCCTAGATAGAGTGAATTTAACTGTGGTTGAATGAGAAGTATAAATATATAAAACTCTGATAGTGTATTAGTTTGTACACAAACAAATCATGTCACACTCCAGCAGGATTAAAATAAAAGGACTGTAAGAAGTATTTGTATTTCATGAATTATATTATTACATTTGACCGCAGCCCTCAGATAGATTTTCATTTTGGGGAAAAGCTTTGTGCAGCCTTGATATATGTATATAAACTGAAACAGCTGGACTAGTGCATCCTAAATTTAACATCAATTAATTACTTTTAATACAACAGTCATTTTTGCAGTTTTTGTGGAGGTCACCTCCTAATAAATGTCCTTACAGAAAATCTAACTGCTCATTTTAAATCAATACTCTGACTTTTAATACTTAAGCGCAAATAAGTATCAGATACTTTAAGACTTTTACTCAAGTAATATTCCTAAAGGAGACTTTAACTTTTACCAAAGTAAGTTTTATAAGATACTTGTACTTTTACTCAAGTAATATTCCTAAAGGAGACTTTAACTTTTACCAAAGTAATTTTTGGTAAGATACTTGTACTTTTACTCAAGTATCACTTTGTAGTACTTTATAACAGTGGTTCCCTAAGTTGGGGTCATGACCCACAGTGGGGTCCTGAAAATATTAATTAATAACACTTAAAAAAATGACAACATTTTTTTTGCCTTTGTTGTTACAAAATAATAAGATTAGTGTACTTGAAATGGACAAAAATAATGTAATATATAATGTTATATGCTCTTGTTTATTTGACGTGAAAACAATATTTATCAACCGACAACAGCTCAGGTCTCAGCTGCGGGTATTTTGTGGGTCAAAAGCTGAAACGTTTGGAAACACTGCCCTAACCCTACCCAAACTAACTGAGAGTCTGTAATATTTGCATTTTTCTCAACAACTAACATCAAAACACATAATATATATGTATAAATATTAGGGCTGCAACGATACAGAAAATTCACGATTTGGTTCAATACTTTAGTCTCATGGTTCGATATTTTTTCGATACAAAAAAAGAGAAATGTCCATGCCCTTTTTAACTTGTAATTTATTTAAATTAATTATGAACATTTGTTTAACCTCAAACATCCAGTTTTTCAATTAAACCTTGCTGAAACAGCAAGTTTCTCAGTGGATCTGTGCTCGACTCTGCAGCCTATAGGTGGAGTAGTCGAACACAGATCCACTGATCCTTCAACACAGAGCATCTTCAGGAGACAAGTTGATAAAATAAATGTTAAAAAGCTGGATTGTTCCATACATAGTGTGTTGAACGGTTCGATATGGGTACATGTATTGTTGCACCCCTAATAAATAGGGGGTCCTCGCTCCATCTCTCCATCAATTTGGGGATTCCAGACTGAAAACTGGTGAAGACCCCCTGTCTTAGCTGACAGATAGGTTAACGCTCACCTTCAGGATTTTGACCACCACCTTCTCATTGTTGGTGACGTTGATGGCCTCGAACACCTCGCTGTACTTGCCCCTGCCCAGCTTCCGGACCAGCTGGTAGTCCTCCTGGTTGCTGTGGGGACGGAGAGGAAAAACAGTGAGACCACCCTGCACACAGATAAGACTCCAAGTCAGCTGTGGAGGAGTGACTTGTGGCCCTGATCTCTGGAGGGGAGAATATTTAGACAACAGACAGGGAGGAGGGAGGGAGGGAAGTGTCAGACAGCAGAGGCTGGAAAACTACCAGGGTGCTGTCATCACAGCCTCTCCTCTCGGCTCCGTGGATAAGAATAGACACCCATCTGCCACAGTTTGTCCCTGCCTCCTCATCACATCTCCCACTCATCACAAACAACCTGAAATGTGCTCACTTCCAGTTCGGGACGTGGGTCTCGTAGTCCCAGTACTCCCGGCTCTTCAGCGTGTTGACGTCTGCGTACACACGGGCCTTGCTGCCGGCCACCGGACCCGGCATGGCGAGACCCGACGGCCGGGCGTCACGGAGATCCGCCGGGGGTGGGGGGGAGTGCGGACGGCCAACTCAGGGGAAGAGGGTTGTAAACAGACAGGGAGCGATGAGCAGCTGCGTGTGGGCGGGAAGTGACCAAAAAACACTGCGTTTAAAGGGAAAATGTTTTAAAAATAGAGAGATATCCTCTGCGGAGGGGCGCAGGTAGTGCCCGCCGGGCAGCGCTCCTTCGTCGGGTTGTTAGAGGCAGCTAAACCGGTGGAGATGGGGCATGAGCCGGGGGTGGTGACAGGAGGGAGGCATTGGCTTATGAGGTAGAAAAGATTTTATCCGGTCTTGAGAGCGCCCAGGCGGGATTCCGGTGCCGGATGATGAACGGCGGTGAGCGGGATTGCCCTCGGTGGTTCACGGCTAGCTAATCAATCAGCGCTCGATGTGACAGATCGGTGGCGGGGGTCGACCGGAGGCAGATGGGGGGGTGGAGCGGCGCAGAGAGGATCGATGCTGTTAGCTAACATTAGCCAGCGATGCTGCTTCAGCGCGGAGATGTCGCAGCGACGGGGGGCGCTCGGCTCCGCGCACCACCATCGGCGAAACCCGCGTCATGTGCGGCCCGGAGGTGCGCGGAAACAGCGCTGCGGTGGCCCGGTGCCAGACGCTGACTTCAGGCCCCGGATTCGGGAGTTTCTTCGGCAGCCTCCCCGGTGGAAAGCGCAGGGAAGGGAGGAGCGAGCGGATAGAACCGCCCGGATGTAAAACCAGCGAGTCGCAGTGTTCCTCACGGGGCCACAGCGCCCCCTAGCTGTGAGGGCTTGTTAGGTTCTTCTTCTTCTCTCAGATGCTCGGACTTCAAAAGAGCACAGCGCCATCTACTGTCCAAGTTAGATCTTCACAACCACTAATTAGAACTTTTAAAAACTTTTTCTCATTAAAAATTCAAAAATACAGTAAAAAAAAAAGCACAATTTACATGAGAAGGAAAATGCAGTTTTACATAATAAACTGAGAAGAAAAGTAAAATAAAAAACTGGTAAAATACAGACTAAACGTTTTAGAAAATAAGACAAAAATATTGTAACGTCACAAGAGAATCTACAATTTTTAAATTAGATTGTTGCATCGATTTAGCTCTTCCTTAAATAAAACTATTTTGTTTTAGAAAACGTTGAACACCAAGTGAAAATTTGCCACAGAACCCCGCAAAATCTTAATTTGCCCTCTCAGAAAAATAATTATTTTTTCCCCAATAGATCAGTGGTTTTCAAACTTAAAAAAATAACAATTGCAGAAATTTGTGAACCCAGATATTACCAGTTTGCAAAATTTGCTAATAACTCTAGTACAAGCTTGATTCCTTTATTATTGTAGTATTTTTGCAATAATTGTGGTGAAAATATTCAATTAACAATTTATTTGCATTTAATTTGATGTCTGGAAATCTTCAGGGGACCCTCACTTGATGTTTCATGACCCACAGAGGGGGTCCTGACCCCAACTTTGGGAACCACTGTAAAGATTGTGTTCCATTATAAATAATATTGTTCTAAGCTGTAAATTAAGATTTCATTAACAAATAAATTTGCTTCAGATCACCTCATAGCAAAACACACTCAGAAAATTGACAGCTTTTATATGTTTTGTTTTTTAAAACACAAATAAAAATCTGGCATCTAAACTTTTAAAATAAAAATAAATTTTATCAAACATCCAGACCACAAAAAAACACACAGGAGCCAAATGAGTTCATAAATGGGGGGGAAAAAAACTTTATTGGTTACTGCTGTGTGAATGTTACAAACATACAGATGATGTCATAGCATGGATGTACACAGTAAGTATTTATTTTCAAATCTCAAACATCAATCACATAAACTACAGTAGAATTTGAAGGAAAGAAAAGGTAAATGAGAGGAGAGAAAGTGCTGAAAGGAGGAGAGGAGGACAGCACCAGTTCCTGAGGACAGAAGAAACACAGCGAACATGCAGAACGAAACACAATGAAGGTTTAACGGGAATTTACTGGAACAGACTCGCCAATTTAATCACTTGTGCTTCAACAGGAGGGTTTCCTTTCTCTGACTCGGCTGCTTAAACACGGGACTGGTCTTTGTTTTTTTAACAAGAACTGATTAGAAATTAACTCTGTCTGCGACTTTACATGCATTCTCAAAAAAAAAAAAAAAAAAAAATTAAAATGAAATAATCTGGGCCAGAGCGGCAACATTCTTTGGTTTTGGACACACTTTCACACCGAGCATCTTTTTTTTCTGCACGTTTAAGTTAACTGATTAGCATTTGCACACTTTAAAAATCTTATTTTCACTTTATTAGTGTAAAACTGCCAAAAAAATACCTAATAAACAAAGACAAAACCATAAGAAAAACAGTTTTACTTGTTCTTAAAATCTGCAAATTTTAGCTGATTCTGTTGCTGAAATAATTAAAGCTGCAGTGCATTTAAAAGAACTCATACAGGCAGCCTTCATGTATTATGTGTCATTGTTGCAAACAATTTAGACAACTGCTTAAATTTTCATTTTCTGTAGTAATTATAAGTTGTTTTAAATGTTCCAAAGAGCCACGTGTTGCAGACCTCTGGTTTAAAGAAAAAGTCAAAGTACAAGAAAGCATCAATCTCCTCAGTTTAAATACTTCTTCAATACTGCACTTGAATATCTGAAACTGAAGGAAAACAAAAAGGCCAACATGTAAACAAAACAGCTTCTCATAATCTCATTTAAAAGAACCCGCTCCAAGCAAGATGCGTAACGAAAACCAAAACGTTAAATCTTTTAACACAAGCTCCATCCAGCTTTCAGATCAGCGAAGGGTTAAACTTTGAAAAGAACACGTCTGTTCGACAGAGACGATGGCCCACGTTCACACTCAGGCTCCTCTCTGAGAGCCCGTTACGACGCAAAACCGTGACAACAACAAGAGCGTTAGTCCAAAGTATTTCACATGGATTAAAAAGTTCCAGGAATACAACAAAAAGCAGGACTTTTCCCCAAAGGAAGAGACAAATCCTGACCACCTTGGCTAAAGTTCACATCCATCATATGTACAGGCTGAGGGAGGAGGCGTGTTCAAACTGACATATTTAAAACACAAAAACGAACAGCGCTGCCTCCTGCAGGAACATGTTTAGATATGTTTCTATACATATTAGCAGGTAATGTTAGCATCAACTATGTGGGCTTTTACACATTAAGGCCCTGTCACACTATAAAGCTTTAGACAATTTATGAAACTTTTAAACACATCTATGTTGAAGATGGAATAAAAAAAACAATTGAAAGCCTCTTTTAGGCATGTACACACTGTAATGCTAACAAATTGATCAAATATATAACTTATTATAAATTTAGATATTAAAGACATTTCATTAGTTGTCTAAAACATCATAGTGTGATACGGCCTTTAACAGAGGTGGGCACAGCTAACCAAAGAGTTAGCTTCACAAGTACCCGCTAATCCACTAAACAAGAATCTTAGCTTCGCTAACGGCTACATTTTATATCCACAAATAACGTTTCACAAAATCTCTTCCAATTGAGAAAGGATTAAAAATGAGTTTGCATTATTTCTGTAAATCTTTTAAAACAATTTCATACAGCCCCTGCAATCAAACGGTCCTCATTTATTTCAAGAATTTAAGCTGATTTAAACCCATGTTTCTTTCATTGTTTTGTTTTTATAAATTTTCCTTTAGTTTAAATGTTTGTGGTTAATGTTTCTTTCTTCTATTTGTATTTGTTTTTTATGTACTTTTACTAAATATTTCTAAGTTAGTTGATTTACTTAATTAATATTCATGGTAATTTCATAGTTTTCATAAATTGATGTTAAGGAGGAATTATTTAGAAAAGATAATTTAGAAAGATATGTAATGTCAAAGGTCATTAACATATATATGTTTATTTTTGTCTTTGTACTGTTAAGTTGGTTCAATGAAAAAATAAAAAAATAAAATAAAGCTCCGCTAATGCTAAACAGGAAGCTAAAGCTAACCGCTAAGACGGCTAGTGGGACTAAAAAAAAAGTTAGCGGGACAACCAGTTTATTGGTTTAATATGAAGGTGGGCGGGATTATCTGTGGCAAATCGGCCAATCCAAACCAGAGTTACAGCTCCAACTTCTGATACTTCCAGGTTAACCCTTTCAGAATAAAAGCATTTCTTTGATGGCGTTTCTATTATTATATCATTTGATGTTAGTCAAAAAACAGACAATTTCTCTACCATATTTTGAAGTGATTTAAATATTGTTAAATATTATTTTGTTCCTTTTTGACGCTCTTTGTTTGAAGTTTAGCTGCTAAAGATGCTACGTGCTACACACGCGATGCTTGACACGTCCTGCACTACTTACAAGAGTTAGTTTTATTTAATTCAGGATAAACGGCATAAAAAGTTAATATTTGTAATTTTGTTTTTTTGTGGACTTAAAATGAGCTGAACCTAATTTAGTGGAAGCTAATCTGTTCGCTAACAGTTCTCGAAGTAATTTGTTAAATGAGAAGCTAGTTCCGCTATTAACGGATTAGCAGGAATGTGCCTACCACTGCAGATTAGCTTCAGCTAGTTGGTTAATCATGAAAATTGCTTACACCACCATTCAGTCTTTTTATAATTTTTTTTTAAGGTTTGGGACAATAAAACTGCTGCACGTGCTCTAATTTAACATGAATCAAAGACGTTACTCCTTGAGAAAGAACTCAAACTAAACAGGATGTGAAGCTGTAACAGTGGAAACTCGAGCAGTCTCTAAAGATTCAGACGGTCCTCTTCTAAATGAAAGGAGTCCATATCACCCAGGTGATAAAAAAAACTGCTTTATAAGCAACAAACGAGGCGACGGATCTGTCAGAACTGCATTATGGCACAAGATTCAGTACCGAACGGTCAGGAAGGAGGTCTGAATGAGTTTAGAGCCTCTTCACTGCTGACACCGACAAATAAAAGACTCAGAAACAACTTCCTAAACTGAAAATAAGACATGTTAATGTTTTTAAAATGGCAAAATAAAGGAACTTTAACGCTTCCTTAATGAACCATTTTATCTGGATCACTAATAAAAATTAAATTGATTAATTTACCTCTAGTAATTTATGCATTGTGTTGTTTTAAAGTTTCTTTTTTACCTTTTTGAATTCGCATCACATTATGGCTTTTACCAACAGACTGGGATGGATCCAGGTTAATTACTTGGCTCTCTTTTTGTTGAACATTTCTAAAACATCACAGATTAATGTGTTCAGAGCTGCACTTAACATCTTTTGATCTCTTGAAATTTTCATGTAAGTTTAAAGAAATTAGAATAAATAAAAACTAGTTTACTACAGTTATCCAAAGTTTCCACAGGAGTTAAAAACTGAGATAAGGACTAAACAGGTAAAAATAAAAGCAACACAAAGCAGGTGCAGCACAGGTAGAAATAAATGTAATATTAAAAACATGGAATACTCTCTGTGCCATGAAGTTGAGCGAGCGCTCAGACAGTGCAAATTAAGTTGAGCAAACAATAATAGCACATGATCAACTGTAAGTATGGCAGGCTGTTTTCCATATAATTAATTTACACTCGTCTCTATTTACACTTTGACATTTTTTACTTTCTTTTAGAGCTGCCACGATTAGTCGACTAGTCACGATTATGTCAACTATTAAAATTGCCAACGACTAATTTAATAATTGATGCATTGGTTTTGTTTTTCTAACTTTGTATTTTTTTTTAATAGTCAATTAGTCTACTATGAAAATAATCATTTGTGGCAGCCCTACTTACCACTACTGCGCATGGGTGTCAAGGAGAGAAAGGCAGACGTGGCAGTTTGGAGAGAAAAACAAAATTAGAAAAAATAATAATAATAACGACGCATCAACTATTAAATTAGTCGACGATTTTAATAATCAACAATAATCGTGACAAATCGACTAATTGTGGCAGCCCTACTTTCTTTACGGAGAAATGCTGTTACTAAAATCTAAACGAGTAAATAAAGACAAGAGTGTGGCTTCATTATGTAGAGAAACAGCCTGCCGTACTTGGTGTCAGATTGCAAAAGCAAATCTTCGTGTTTTCTCAGGTCATCATTAGGGTTGGGCAATAATGGCAAAAAAATTAATCACGTTTAATTGTGGTATTTAGCCGATAACGATTAATATGACGATTAATCCAATGGAATCCCAGAATGCCTCATGTCCTAGTCACATGACTAATTTAGATCACTAAGATTTGCTCTTTGTAAAAAATCTGTTCCAAATTGTGTCAAAATACAAACTTCAAGCTAAACATCAATTTGTAAATTGTGTCAACAGATCAAGTAAAACCTGAGTTATGATTAATGAATTACAGAACTTTAAAAAAAATGTTTTTCCTATTTGAAGCGGAGAGGAGCACCGAGTGGACTGACCGGGGAAATCTCCAGTCGGTCTACCCGGCGGTATTAACCGTCTTAAACGTCCAGTGCCAAAAAAAATAATCGATTAAACTTTTTCTGACGATTAATTGCACACAATACGATTTTGCCCAACCCTAGTCACCGTGCACACGGACGTCAGTCTCGACTCGACAGCACAAAAAGCACTCGGCACAGAGCTGCGCAGAACGAGAGCGATGTCAGGATTAGTAAACAGGCTGGAAGTGAAGATCAGGAGGACAGAGTCCAGGCTTCTGTCTGTCCAGTAAAAACAGGAGTCATATGCAGTGCGACACATTGTACGCGCCTCCTTCAGACGTGTGCCGCGCCGTGTGGTCCTGCAGCGAGCCCAAGTCACTGAAGCGCTCGCCGCACCACACGCACTTGAACTGCCCCTCCCGGGAGTGCGTGCTCTGGTGCTTGATCAGGTGCTCGCGCTGCTTGAAGCACTTGTTGCAGTGCTCGCAAGTGAAGGGCTTCTCGCCCGTGTGCACGCGCCGGTGCCGGTTCAGGTCCGAGGTGTACTTGAAGCGCTTCTCGCAGTCGGGGCACCTCAGGGGCTTCTCCCTGGACGGGTCGCAGCGGTGCTGGACGAACTCCGAGGAGGACACGAAGCGGCGGTCGCACAGCGAGCACTTCAGGGGCTTCTCCTGGCAGTGGGCGTTCTGGTGGCGCTGCAGCGTGGAGCTCTTCTTGTAGCCTTTGCCGCAGACGTCGCAGCGGTACGGCTTGTCAGGCGAGGTGTTGGACGGCTCGCCGCACTTGTGCCTGAGCAGCTCCCCCGACTGGCTGAACTCCTTCTGGCAGGAGGCACACTTGAACAGGTTGTCCATGCCGTGCACGTGCTGGTGGTAGAGGAGGTGGGAGGGCTGCATGAAGCCCTTGTCGCACAGGCTGCACTTGAACGGCCGGTCGGTGGGGTCCTTGTGCGTGCGTCGGTGGCGCGCGAGGGCGTACGGCTGCCTGAAGCTCATCTGGCACTCGTCGCAGTGGAAGGGGCGCTCCTCCGAGTGCGCGCGCTCGTGCTGCCGCAGGTCGGACGGGCGCTTGAAGCCCTTGCCGCACGTGGCGCAGCGGAAGGGGCGCGAGCCCTGCGGGTGGCACGGGTGGTGCAGCAGCTCCGACGACTCCTTGAAGTGCAGCTCGCACAGGTTGCACTTGAACAGGTGCTCGCCCGAGTGCACGTACATGTGGCGCACCAGGTGCGAGCGATGCTTGAAGCTCTTGTCGCACACGGCGCACTTGAACGGCCGCTCGTTGCTGTGCGTGCGCTGGTGGTGCTGCAGGTGGGACGACTGGCTGAAGGCCTTGTCGCACGTGTCGCACTTGAACGGCTTCTCGCCCGTGTGGATGCGCTCGTGCCGCGTCAGCTCCGACAGGTGCTTGAAGCCCTTCTGGCAGACGGGACACTTGTACGGCCGGTCCCGGGCCGAGGGGAAAGGCAAACCGGACGAGCTGCTGCTGCTGCTGCTGGCCGACGCCGCGTCGCTGCTGGAGGGCTGCGAGCTGCCGGAGGAGGGCGCGGAGTTGTCGGACGAGCCGGGCCGGTACGTCTTCTCACATATGGAACACTTCATGGGGTTGGTGCTGTTGTGCGACGTGTGGTGCTGGGCCAGCGAGGTGAGCAGCGAGAAGCCCATCTTGCACACGCCGCACACGAACGGCTTCTGCTCCACCTGGACGCACTGGTGCTCCAGCAGGTCCGTGGCCTGGTGGAAGATCTTCAGACACTGGGTGCACTGGAACGACCGGTCCTGACTCATCAGGCACTGGTGCTCGAGCGGGTTTGTGAGGTGGGAGATGTTGTGTCCACAAGCCCCACACTTGTGCGCTCTGTTTGCGTCAACCTGAAGCGGGTTCTGCTGGGTCTGAGGAGGGTGTTGTTGCTGCTGCTGCTGCTGCAGCGACGCAGCGTCTGGCTGGAGGACGATCCCATACACGGCGCAGCTCAGTGGATTCTCGGCTCCGGAGGGGACGGCGACCGCGTGCTGCTGCCAGGCCTCGGACACGCGGCCTCGAGAGTAATGGTTCAGTTTGGCAGCTGGAGAGGCCCAGCTAAAGACAGAGAGGCAGATGATTTGAGTAACGGGGCTACAGACGTCTGAATGTGTGAAGAAGAGAGGAAGAAAAAAACTCACTCCATGTCTGAGCTCTGAAAGGAGCCGTGACTGAGGCTTGTGACGGCTTGAGCTGAAGAGGGAAAACAACCAGATGTTGGCAAAAGTGAAGGAAAATCCACTAAGTACGTTTCATCCTTTCAAGCTGCATCTGCAGGAGAAACAGAAACAGAGGGTGAAAATGCCTGTTTTGATTGGCTGGTGGGGACAAGATCTACAGAAATTAAATAAAACATAAACATTGTGACAAAAGATTGAAACAGGGTACATGCAGGTGTCAGAAAGTTAAATTTAAGACCTTTTCGTGACTTTTAAGACCATTAGGAACGACATTTAAAACCAAACCAACGCATTACCAGAAACATTCAAATGGTCCCAGAAATTTTAACATGAAAACCTTTTATTGCTTTCGGTTTAACTATTAAAGAATGTTTTTAATTTTAAAACAAGAACACTAAATTATATGAATAAAACAGTCATATCTATGACAACTTCGTATCAACTGCTGTGGACCGCTTCCAACCGAGTGCCAAAATCACAGATATACAGTCAAGACTCGTTGAAAACACACTTCCCCCGTGTTCCAACAAGCAGTGGACAAGACTGAACTTTTTGTGTTTTGGGTGGGTGAGCAAACCGCTGTGTGCAGGGGGGGTTGTAGCAGCAAAAAGGTTGAAAACATTTAGAAAACTGTGCTATTTTTTATTTTTTTTGCCTGCAGTTTTCACAGGATTTGTAGTTTAACCACGTACCAAGACGTGAGGCAAACTTAGTGCTTCAATCTCTGATTACGCCGCTTCAAGTCTGTTTGTTTATGCAGCAAACGCTTCTCAGGAATGATCGAAAATAAGAGAATTAAGACTTGACAAAACGTAAGACCTTGGATGAAAATCTGGGCGTTTTAAAACTTTTTTAGGTCTAAAATTTAGATTTTCAAATTTGAGACTTTTTAAGACCTTTCACGAACTTTGTTTAAAAAAAGTAATTTATGGAAAAAGATACATATTAATCACGTTGTAATCATTGCCTTATTTACTTTATATCAGTGTTTCTGTAGTTCAGCCAAATGGTCAGAATCTAAAAAAGAATAGGAACCACTAATCTAACAGGCCTATAAACAATATAATGTTCATGCACTCTGATAAAAATAATTAAAAATAATCTAGAACTGAACCAGGATGTAGGACACTGAATAAACAATCTAAAGTAAAATAAATAGTACTTATTAAATGTTATCTTGAATTACATCAAATGGTGTAATTAGAAAGATATTCTTCCAATATTTTACAGATATGGTGGTATATTATTCTGAAATGCGGGTACTCACTCAATGTAATCAAAGGCTAAATCTGTCAAAAACCATGTGCACGCTTTGTATATATAAATATTTTTTATTTAAGAGCACATTAACCACTTATATAAATAAACTTGATTTTTATTAAATGTTTTGTTTTTAATTAAATGAAATAAATAAAAAAAACTATTGTTATTTTGTTGTTTCCGGTCCTCTTGAATTTGCTAACTTTAAATGAAATGGAAAAGGATCCTTTGGTTTGGTTTTTATTGTTTACATCTATATGTGCTTATTTGTCAGAAAACATAAAGTTAAACTCAAACACATGCGTTTTACTACAGATGTGTATTCCGTTAATCAAGCTAAATAAACCGGGGCTTATTTATCTGTTACAGCTGCAAACACGGCTAATGCGCTCCAAACAAACACAAGCTGGACAAAGTCACCAGAGACGGTGTTTTATTTTAAATTAATATACATTAAATGTGTGGTTTTGATCCAGAAATATAAATGCTGCACGATTCGCGGTGCAAAGTGAGAAACACCGAGTCCGCGCATCGTAACGTTAAAGATTAGCGGCTAGGTGCTAGCTAACCGAGCTACCTGCTGCTAGCTCCGGGTAGTCCGGTCGGAAAGCCCCGGGGAACAACGCCGGGCCCACCGAGAGACAACAGCCAGCGGTGAGACCGTTATCACCGCGAGGCCAGGCTGCAGCCACATACCTGGAGCATCCCGTAACTTGAGAATCCCCTCCCTTCGGTTCTGGTGTCCTCCTCGGTTAGCTCTGTTCCTCACATCCGCACACGACACGGACGGAGCTCGGTTTGTTTGTTTGTTCGAGCGCCGAGGTTTCAGTTAAGGACCGAAAAAATAAACGAGAACTAACTTTTCCAACAATCGTCCCCGAACGGTCCCCGTTAACTGCACCGTCACATATTATTCACCAGGCCCCCCCGGACGCATCCTCTCCTCCCAGAGAGGAGCCGTGCATTTTGGGTTTGATGTTAGCAAGCTAATGGGTTAGCTCCGGCGCGCGCGAGAACACGAATACACACACAAAAACACACGCACGCACACACATACACACAATCAGAATGATGTCTCTGTAATAGTAATAAAAACTATCTATCTTTTAAGATACAAATAAAAAACTAATTATGAATTTATGTAGGCATACGCAGTTATATTACTTGATACACCGTTTTTAATGGTCAGTTTCTGGTATTTTTCTTTTCCAGTTTGTCTCACTGGTGTTGCCAGATCTCACGCCCAACTGGCAACCCCCCACATTGTGTAAAATACAGATCAATTATAACAGTACTGTATAAATGTATTCATTTATTATTGTATTATACATAAGCAACAGCAAAAACAATTATAAAAATTACCATAAAAATGAACAACTTTAATGGTTTGAATAATTTAAGTTGTTTTAATAAATAATTTTAAACTCTGATCATAAGAAAAGTGCATTTTGCAGCAAAATGACAGTACAGTCAACAAAAACTCCCAAAAATATTTGTGCGCTCTTTTTTCCTCACTCTTTATTATATTTTTCCTCATATTTTCCTGACTTACTGCAACTCATTGTCACTCTGTTTTGTCACATATATCCAGAGGTGAAGTTTTTGCTGACAAAAAAAAATTGTCTCTGGTTCATAGTGTTCTCTTTCAATTCATGCAATTTAATCAGCAAATTCCAAACAAATTAAAACTTATCAATATTATACTGTACTGTACTTGTATCCCAATGTGAGCAGCATATTTTATGTATTTATTTTTTGTCTGTGCACCACCTGTGTAAAATGTCCCAGTCTATTATATGGAGCACACCAATCCTCACCATGTTTTAGAAGTAGACGCGCATGTGCGCTGTATCAAGTCTCCTGTCATAAGCTCTGAACCGGACCGGACCGGACTGCCTCATCCCTGCTTGTTTCTCCGTCACTCTGGGCTCTGGTGTGTGTTTGAAGTGTGCCGACTCAACTCAGGCGGGAACGACAACCAGCAACTCACATTCAAAAATAATCCCAAAATACCAGAACCCGCGACTCACGGAACTTACACGGAGTGCTGCATCAAGGCACCTCAGTGGGAAGTCTGTGGGAAGTAAAAAGTGTGGCAGAAAACTCTGCACAACAAGAAGAGTTGTCAGTCAGTGATGGTCTGGGGTGCCATGTCAGCTGCTGGTGTTGGTCCACTGTGTTTTATCAAGGCCAGGGTCAATGCAGCTATCAGGAGATGTTGGAGCACTTCATGCTTCCATCTGCTGAAAAGCTTTATGGAGATGAAGATTTCATTTTTCAGCACGACCTGGCACCTGCTCACAGTGCCAAAACCACTGGTAAATGGTTTACTGACCATGGTATTACTGGGCTCAACTGGCCTGCCAACTGCCCCGGACTTTAGCAGGGGCTTACGGGGTTCAAGCACAGGGCCCCGGCGCTTTGGGGGCCCCGCCCCAGAATGACAATTTATTTTTTTGTGAATGAATAGAGCCAGGCGCTGAATGTTTTGTCATTAGCCCCTGATCAAAACAAGACCTGCTCTCTGACTGACCACCTCTCCTCCAGGAGCAGGACAGGACGATTGCATCATCGTCTGTTTGTGCTTCCAATCTGTGTGTGTGGGAGGAGGGAGACACCTTTTTATCCACCAGCATGTCACAGCAGCAGCTCACCTCGGCCCCCGAG